GGGCTTTCGGCGCTCCTTACATGGCACAACGGAATCCTTCGCCCAGATACCCGAGCCTGGTTGCAGTGTTTGCTTTTGAGCTGTCGAGATGGTAGCAAGGGGCTTTTCGATGAGCTGCTGGCGGTACAAATCAACCTTACCGGGCCATACACATGGCCTGGCATCTTGAACGAGGTAGTTCAACGAACGGATGACGTCTGTTTCATCAATGCCATCATCACCAAGCACCAGGCCGTCGAACCGGGCCCTTACGACTACTCCGTCCCTTTCGCCACTGCCTGGTATAGGGGTCGCCTGAACACAGCCCCGGTTCTCTTCGGTGCGGGCTGGTGCGATGTCATACAAGGCCAGAGATTCACCATTCTTGGTGATCTGATCTGGGATGCAAAACATCACCCCAGCCATGTGAGGATCGTGGAGGCGTTCATCCAATGTGTCGGAGCTCGCGACACCATCTTCGAGGACGTCAACAGACAAGACAACAAATATTCCTTGAAGCTGAATGCGATTCAACTAGCGCTGGCCTACCGGTCCAGGCCGGGGGTAAGTACGGGTGTTGAGATCCTGAAGGTGCTGACCCGGTACTTCAGGCACCCCCGAAGGCACCTTGGTCAAACTATGGGAGAGAACAAGTTATCATTGCTTCACATGGTGGTTGATATGGCCAATCCTCCTGCCACCGACTTCCTCCTCCAGCTTCCCGGCATTGATCCTGGTGCTCGAAGCGCGGACGGCCTCACAGCATTTGATCATTGCATATTGCGCTGGCAGAACTCGGCAAGAGACAATAGTTTGGACTACACCAGTGCACTTGAGGCGGGTGTTCCCTTGGAGAAAGCCAAAAACGACTGGGACGCCGGGACAACAGCGCTCTTGGCCACCATGAAGCGCAGAGGGGCGAGCAAATATGGGTTTATATCAATTGCTGTCAAGCGCCTGTCGGCGGAACACATCAAGGTCATGTTGGTCTCAGAGGAAGGGGGCTTTGGTATTACAGAGACAACCCCACAAGGCATGTACAGAGCCGTTCGGAGCGCCCAGCCCTCCGATGATATATCCTTTCCTCGTTCCTCGCTAACCTGTCTGAATAGAATTCACACCGTTTCTCGCTCCACTGCCTGGAGGATCAGGATCAGCCGTGGTGGAAAGAGTCGCGAATCTACCGATAGGAAAGTGCACTTTCGTCCTTTTGCGAGGGCCGATAGAAGAGAGGCTGGAGATCAAACGCCTACCGCATTGTTTCGACAACGTGGAAAGCTTCAGCACCGACACCGAGGAGGAGTCTGCTCTGTAAACTTTAAAGGGGCATATGTGCCTGCCAGAAGGAGACCTGCAGAAAACCCACCTCCACATTCTGTCTGACACGACCCTCAACCATTCGGCCTTGACCGCTACTCTGACTCTCTGAGTGTGCTGCATTTTGATATCTCCTGTTTCCCAATTTGTGAACGCTGGTGGTTGACATAACAACGTCCCACAACCCCAGAAAAGAGCAGCCGATAGAATGCATCAGGCCGAGTGCCGGCACGGAGTCTGCGGGGACGCGGGGAAGTGTTGGAGAACCGATGCTAGACGACATGCATCCCCTTGGACCCCCTCACCGCGGAATGGTTGACAGGTCCAACCAAAGGACGGGATGAACCACATAAAAGCCACGCTTGGCTCACCGTTGGGGTCGAACCTCGGTCTACTCGACAAAGGTACACCTTACCCGGTACCGCCTCTCTGAACCAGAACTTGAGTTCATCCGTTGTTGAAGCAGTTGGATAGGTATTTTGACAACTGGTTTCACGACTTTCCATTCCCGTCCTCTCACTCAACAACACCATACACCCATTGAAGCATCGCCAGTCTACACACACAGGATTTGCCACCCCCCCCCAGCAACCATGCCTCACTCCTCCTCCTTCCCGACCCTCCCCATCCCCTCCACCGACGTCTTCACCCTCGTCTTCAACGACGCCACCCCCCGCGCCTTCCCCCCGACCAAAGAGATCCTCACCTGCGCCCAGACCGGCCGCTCCCACACCTGGTCCGCCATCCGCGACTCCTCCATCGCCTTCGGCCGCGGCCTGCAGACCCTCTGGTCCTGGTCCAAAGGCGACGTCCTCGCCCTCTACACGCCCAACTCGATCGACACCCCCCTCGTAACCCTCGGCACCCTCTGGGCCGGCGGCGTCGTCTCCCCCGCCAACCCGCTCTACACCGCCGACGAGCTCGCCTTCCAGCTCCGCGACTCGGGCGCCAAGGCCCTCGCGACCCAGCTCGCCCACCTCCCGACGGCGCGGCAGGCCGCGCGGGCCGCCGGCATCCCCGAGGACCGCATCATCCTCGTGGGCGACGAGCACGACGCGACGGCGCGGTTCCGGCACTTTAGCCACGTGCGCGCCGCCGCCGGCGACCAGGCGCGGATCGACCCCGCCTCGGACCTGGCGTTCCTGGTGTACAGCTCGGGCACGACGGGGCTGCCCAAGGGGGTGTGCCTGACGCACGGCAACCTGGTGGCGAACCTGGTGCAGTGCGCGTACGTCGAGGGGAGCCAGTGGTCGGCGGTCGGGGGCGAGGACGGGCGCGGCGACAAGCAGCTGGGGGTGCTGCCGTTCTTCCACATCTACGGGCTGACGTGCTCGGTGCTCATGTCGGTGATGGAGGGGTGGCAGCTGGTGGTCATGGAGCGGTTCGATATGGAGCGCGCGCTGCAGGCGATTCAGGACTACGGTATTACGTTTGTCTATGTGCCGCCGCCGGTGGTGCTGGCGTTTGGAAAGCACCCGGCCGTGGATAGGTATGATCTGACGAGCTTGAAGGTGCTGCACTCGGGTGCGGCGCCGCTGACGAGGGAGCTCACCGAGGCGGTGTGGGAGAGGCTCAAGATTCCTGTCAAGCAGGGGTTTGGGTTGTCCGAGACGAGCCCGGTGACGCATTGCCAGACGATTCACGAGTGGGCTAAGCATATGGGGTCGGTGGGGAAGTTGTATCCTAACATGGAGGCCAAGATTGTGGGGGAGGACGGGAAAGAGGTTGCCGAGGGCGAGGTATATTTGTTTACCTTTGCACCCCCTGAGACTGATGAGGTGCTAACCGGGTGGGGATGGACAGGCGGGTGAGTTTTGGGTCAAGGGACCGAATGTCTTCAAAGGGTACCTCAACCATCCCGAGTGGACGAAGGAGGCCTTCTCCGAAGACGGCTACTTCAAGACGGGGGACATCTTCCGGCGTGATGCAGGCGGGAACTACTATTGCGTCGATCGACTCAAGGAGTTGATCAAGTACAGTATGACTGACCTCCTATGCTACCCAAAGATTAGTTGGGAATGCTAACGCTCAAACAGAGGGCTTCCCCGTTCCGCCAGCAGAGCTGGAAGGCCTCCTCCTCGGCCACGCCGACGTCGCAGACGCTTGCGTCATCGGCGTCGAGGACAAGGCCCAGGCGACCCAGGTGCCGAGGGCATATGTGGTCCTCCGACAAGGCGTCGCAGCCAGCGAGGACAAGGAAAAGGAGCTTGTCGAATGGGCGGCGAAGCAGGTGGCCCCGCACAAGAAGCTTCGCGGGGGCATCCGGTTTGTCGACCAGGTCCCCAAGTCCGCCAGCGGGAAGATCCTGAGGAGACTGGTCCGGGAGGAGGCGAAGAAGGAGAGCCGGACGACCGGCGCCAAGTTGTAACGTCGTGCCATTTGACCTGTCTTGTTCAGCGAGTCTTGTATATACCCCCCCACCTACCCACCATCTCTAGCCATGTATGTACACATGCTACCCCATCCTCTCCGCCTCCTCCAACAGCCTCTCCACAGTAAACCTCTGATCGCCCCTCGCAAACTCCTCCAGCAACCTCCTCCTCGCCTCGGCCCTCTCCCTCCCCATCCCATCCTCCCCCGCCTTCCCATCCCACCCCCCATAGAACCGCTGCAGGCACATGACCAGCCACCGCGCATCCTCGACCTTGACCCCCCTGTCCTCGGCCACCACCCCCCTCATCAGCACCAGCCCGCCCTCGTCCCCGCCCAGCTCCGTGTAGTGCGTAATCGTCGTGTGCGGCGCCGCGTACTCGCCCCGCGCCTTGTACTCGGCCAGCTGCGTGAACAGCACCGTGCTCGTCTTCGTCGCCGCGTCCCACGTCCACTGCAGAAAGTGCAGCTCGGCGCCCTGGTCCGGGTGCGGCACCGGCAGCAGGAACTGCGGGCACGCGCGCGCCGCCGCGTCCATGGCGCTGTACGTCGCCGCCGGGATCACGGCGCAGAGCGACTGCGGCGCGGCGGCGTGGAGGAGGCGCCAGGCGGCCGTGAGCTCGGCGGCGGGGAGGAGGCGGGCCTTGGGGAGGTTGAGGATCGACGAGAGGGGCTTGATGCCCGTCTTGGACTCTTCGGCGGCGGTCGGGCGTGGTGGTGGTGGTGGGGGTTGTTGTTGTCGGGGTTGTTGCTGCTGTTGGGGTGACGGGGGCGGGGTGGGAGGCACGACGGCGACCGTGTCGAACTCCTTGCGCAGGGTCTCGATCTTGTCCGAGTAGACCTTCTTGAGCGTGTCGATGTCGGGGAGGCCCTCCTCGCGCGCCTTGCGGTCGAGCTTGTCGCGGTACTTTTCGAGGACGCTTCGAGAGTGCTGCGTCGTGGCGAGGAAGCGGACGTCGTGGACTTGGGCCCAGCGCCGCTGGAACGAGGCGATGCGGGGGGTGCTGCCGCTGCGGACGAGGTGCCGGAGCACCGGGGTTCGGACTGCTGCCATGGTGGCTGTGATGTGGTGAGTTGGTGTTTGGGTGAAGCTGGAGCTCGCTGTGAGCTTATCGGAGGTTCATTGGAGGGAAAAAATGTTATCGGGCTTGACGTCAGGGGCTGAATTGGCCTGAACCACAGGGGGCTAACAAGCCGAGCTTCAAACTGCAATTGATCCGAAAATGAAGCGAATTTCGAAAAGAAAAAGTTACAGCGTCTTCAAGATGACTTGATGCATAGGATAAGAATGTTTGATTCAAAAAAATCAGAGTTGAAATACGGGGCAAAAAGAGAGGACCGATCGTGAGTTGAACACGAGACCTACCGGAAGCAAGCTACCAAGTTGGTAACTATACTGCAGCCGGTTGCTCTACCACTGAGCTACCGGTCCATCTGAGCGAATGATGTAAGTGGATGTGTTTCTTTGGTATATGTTCGTGAGGCAGAGCAACAAGCACATCAGTATTTCCATTCTTGCATGCGAATCAAAGCAAATGGAATATGTCATGTTTTTGGATTTCTCGCCATATCCCTTCCGAGAAACTATACAGACTTCGTAGATCCTACCACGTTGTTTATCCAACAGCTTCGTGGTCTGCAGTGTATATACTTTCGGCCATGTCAACATATTGCGAGCGAATGCGCATTGAGTGATCTGGCCTGTATGTGACAAAGAAGAATTTCAATTTATGTGGGTATCTCTAGAAGTCTTTCCAGCTTCTGGCCGTCGCAGCTCGCGAGTCATCATGCAAAATCGCCTTCCCGGCTCCGTCCCTCCCGATACTCCCTTCCTGAGTCCTCGCCACAAAATATTAGGCCCTCTCCAAAAGGGACTCTGTCATAAATTTCTAGTAGAATGTAAGTCCCAACCACCACATCGCCACCGGCGGAGGTCACGCCCCGACCGAGTCATGCGCGTTTCACCAGCACATCAAGTGCTTCACCCCCAGACCCTCTCAGCCTGTCCACCCCAGTTCGTCATGACAAGTCCAGAAACGAAACCTCGTGTGACCGCATCTCACCCACAGGCGACAGAATCCCATCAGCATCCTCGACATCCGACCCCGACACGGACCCAAACTCCTCCTCCAGGATCATGCCCGTGACGGACCTCGGCGAGCCCGCCGCCGCCGGCGACAGCGGCCCGTACTTGAGCAGGTGCGGGCACAGCCCCTCGCCGACCGAGGCGCGGTGGGAGTGGAACGAGCACAGGCGGAACCCAAAGAACCGCTCGCCGCTGCGGAGCTTGTTCATCGGCAGCCGCAGCTGCGGGTTCTTGATGCGCACGTCGGCCTTGCTCTGCGCCATCTTCTTCAGGTGGATGCGGTAGTCCTCGGCGAGGGCGGGGTAGACGTGGAAGAGGCGCTCGAAGAGGGCGGCGTCGCGGTCCGCGCCGTTGAGCGACCACCCGAGCATGGCGACGGCCCATTTTCGCAGGCGGAGGGCGTGCGTGGCGTCGCACTCTTGGTAGAGGTAGGCGATAAACCGGGGGGAGACGTCGAGGTCGCAGCGGAGGTAGAGGTCCTGGATCGCGTCCATGGCGACGTCCTGGAGGGCAGGGAGATCGATGACGGATGCGAAGACGTGGAGGCGGGCGAGGTTCCAGCGGAGGCCCTGGAGCTTGGAGTTGTTGGCGTAGGAGGCGATGTCTCGCTCGCGGGTGAGGAGCCTGGGGATGACGCTGTCGACCAGGGCGGAAAAGGAGTGTGGGCGGTAGAGCCACAGCACAAAGAGCTCAAACATCTCGGGCGACTCGGCGGGGAGCCACATCATGGCTTCTTCGTCGTCGTCATGGCTGTCGTCGGTCGGTGTCGAGACAGCCTCGATGCTGTCGCGGAAGAAGGTGCTGGTCTCACAGAGGAGTCGTCGGTTGAGGGTGAATTCGCGCTGTTGCTGGCCAACCAGGACCTTGACGTCTTCGCGAGCTTCCGGGACGCTGAGATGTCCGAGGTCAGCGAAGTAAGGGGGTCAGAGGGATGGGAAGACACTTACGAATTCATCATTGGTTTTCCGATAGCCATGGTCTCCGATGGGGACAAAAACGAACGACACCAAAAGAATGATCATGTACCGAAGCGAAGAAAAAAAAGAGATCAACTCTTGGAAGAATGGAATGAATGGCCGCCACACCGGGAAGCATCTCTGGTGGGACCCTTCGCCTCTATACTTATTGCCTCGGATACGGGATGCAACACCAGAAGAAAGAGCCTGCCAGGGCAGCGAGGTGTCACGGGTGCCAGCCATTCGTCTCAACTCTGGACGGCCATAATCCTTGCTGCACATCCACACCACCGGCCCCGATCCAGGGAGGCGATCCGGGTGGCCAACCTGGGAAGCCCAGTACCGGGAGCCTGAAAGACAGGCGAAGGGTCCCGGACGTTTGATGGTGAGCCTTGAGGGTGAGAAGCGAGGTTCTTGGCGATGCCGACTCGGGCTGTTATCGCTTATCACCCCGCCATGGGTTTGGTGTTTCAGTCCCCTCGAGCCCCCCACCTAAACTGTCACTGTCCCTTGCTCTGCCCCTGATCGACGAAACACGATGCTGATTATTACGGAGTTTTTGCGCAAAGAGACAATGCTTCAAACCTGGCCATGTCAGTCTTGAGCAAGCCAAAAGAAAAAAACCGGGAGGCTGGCGAGATCGAGCGCATTCCATGTGATGGACACGTCGAGGCCTCGCAGGATGCCCGTATACAGACAGCATCGACACCCTCAATGACGACGACTCGAATTGAACCGCCCTGAGCTCGGCCTCTCCAAGATTAAAGGGCCTGTCTTTGTGTCTTGCAAAGACTGCAGAAAACCGTGTGCTGCGTCACGGGTCCAGCAGACCGGCGACGATAGCTGCAGAGTACGGCAGGGCTCGGACCAGGCCTGTCGTCTCTTCGTCTCAAGGTAATTGCCATCCCGGCAAGAAGCCGAGTTGCGGTCGTGCGTGGCAAGCGACGGCCGGCGGGGTGTGATTGACGATGCCTTTTCCAGCCGTCCAAACGTCCGTGGGCAAGGTACCCCGCTGCCACCGGAGGCTGTTTCAACGACCGTCGTATAGGCAGGCTCGTCCGTGGGGAGAAACCGTCATGACAGTGGGCGCTGAGTTGCAACTCGTGAGAGAAGAGAATAGCTGTTCCAAGATTCGGGGTTCGGTCAGGTGGATATCCGTTCAAACGACGCGTGGGATGTCGGAGCTGCCGAGAGCTGGGAATATCTCAATCAAGGAACCTAACCACGGTGTTCTGTTATTCCGAGTTATGTAAGTCGTCGAGTGCGGGGCGAAAAGTTAATCCCGCTCAATCGCGAATTGGCGAACCAACTCCATTATTCATCACCCAGAGCCTCGAGAGGATCTAGCTTTTGCTGCAAGACCAAGGGCAGTGCTACCTCCAAAATGTATATAAGAGGAAGGAGGTATCTCCAAGTAATCAGAAAATGTATTCCACATCGCCAATCCAACCCAAACCACCATCCCAGTCTCCAAAAGCCCACCTCCTCCCTCCTCAACTCCACCTCCCCACCCCTCCACTGTTGACATCGCGACATCTCCCCCAACCGTCAACACCATCTCTCCCCAATCCCCAACCGCAACCCACACCACCCCCAAAATGCCCGGAACCCAACCCCCCATGTCCATCTGGGCCCAAGCCCCCGACTACGTCACCCCAGCGCAGCACCCCCCGGCCGGCACGCCGCTGACCATGACCTCCTCGGTCCCGACCCTCTTCACGCCCCTGCAGCTCCGCTCCCTGACCCTCTCCAACCGCTTCGCCGTGTCCCCCATGTGCATGGACTCGGCCCACGACGGCCTCATGACCGACTTCCACCTCGTGCACCTCGGCTCCTTCGCCCTGCGCGGCGCGGCCCTGACCATCTTCGAAGCCACCGCCGTCGCCGCCAACGGCCGCATCACCACGGGCGACGTCGGCCTCTGGCATGACGGCCAGATCGCCCCCATCAAGCGCGTCGTCGACTTCATCCACGCCCAGGGCCAGCACGCCGGCATCCAGCTCGCGCACGCCGGCCGCAAGGCCAGCAACCTCCCCGGCCACGACCCGCTGCTGCGGCGCGGCGTCAACGACGTGGCGACCGCCGCCGACGGCGGGTGGCCCGACGACGTGTGGGCGCCGAGCGCCATCCCGTACAGCGCGACGTACGCGCAGCCCAAGGCGCTGTCGACCGAGCAGGTCGAGGGCGTGGTGAGGGCGTTTGCCGAGGCGGCGGAGCGCTCGGTCAGGGCGGGGTTTGACACCATCGAGATTCACGCGGCGCATGGGTATTTGCTGTCGGAGTTTTTGTCGCCCATCACGAATGTGAGTTGCCCTGGTTTCGCGAGAGGGGGAGGGATGCTGACATGCCGAGCAGAAACGCACCGACAAGTACGGAGGCTCCTTCGAGAACCGCATCCGTGTCCTGGTCGAGGTGATCCAGGCCGTGCGCGCCGTGATTCCCGAGACGATGCCGCTGCTGGTCCGCATCTCGTCGACCGAGTGGATGGAGTGGACCGGCGAGCCGTCGTGGGACGTGCCGCAGAGCATCCGGCTCGCCAAGCTGCTGCCCGACCTCGGGGTTGATCTGCTCGACGTCAGCTCGGGCGGCAACAATGCCGACCAAAAGATTGACATCCACCCCTACTACCAAGTCGACATTGCCGGCCAGATCCGCGAGGCTCTCCGCGCCGAGGGCAAGTCGATGCTGATTGGCGCCGTCGGGCTGATCACGACGGCTGAGATGGCCAGGTCTATCGTGCAGGCGGACGGGACGCTGGCGGGCGAGAAGGACGGCACGGTCGAGGTGGAGGTGGGGAGCGGGCAGACGGCCAAGGCAGATCTGGTGCTTCTAGCGAGACAGCTGCTGAGGGAGCCCGAGTTTGTCCTTCGCGTGGCACATAACCTCGGGGTTGAGGTCAAGTGGCCGGTTCAGTATGGGCGTGCCCGGTTTCAAGCCGGGGCCAAAATATAGGGGGTTTCATGGGGGCGGCGTTGAAGGTCGGGCATCAAGTGTGGCGCATAGGTCGAGTCGATAGATGGTGTCATAGAGCGTTTGCATTTCCGGGGATATATACAGTTGTAAAGAGTTTCCCCCCCACCTGTCACCTCTTTCCCTTTGTGTGCGCCTGCATCTTCTCCGCGCGTGTCACTTCGCTCTGCGCGAGGGACCTCACAAGCTGCAGCAACAGCTCCCTCCCGGTGGTGATGCTCTGTTCCGATGGGTCGCAGGGGACGTGGAGAAAGACGACTTTCCGCGGCTGCTTGGCCTTGGTAAGGTGCGCCAGGCTCGAGAAATAGAGGAAATCGCACAGATAGCGCCCGGCATCCTCCGATACACGGAGATTGTGGCCAGGCTGGTTGATACGGGGTCAGTTACCCCGCCAATCGGCCAAGAGCAGGAGTAAACAGG